CACACACACACACACACACACACACACACACACACACACACACACAATCCATATTTACCTAGGGTACAGTGGCCCCAACTATAAAAAAAAATCACATTTTTATACTTATAAGATTTACTTTATTGTTTTGGCACTTATTGATTTGGGACATATATAGAGTTTTGACAACTAAAGTTGTTGTAGATGTGTTGAATAAACATGAGCTGTAGCATTAAATAAAAATAAACCTAATTTTTATTCAGAAAATGTGTATTGAAGATAAACTTAAATAGCATTTTCAGATCACTATAAAACAACAGAGAAACCAACTTAAAAAAATATTAAAAAGTATTACTATAAAATTCCATGGCATATTGTTTAATCTAAGCAGCCACAATTTATCACTTATGTGTTTGTTGTTTGCCTCCTGGTGTAAAAGCATGATTTATTTAGTTTAGTTGTGATTTGTGGCTGTATTTTTGTTGACTTAAAAACAAAAACAATGTCACAAATTCAGATATCCAGAAAACTCACAAAATTACTTTTATTAAGGGAACAAGTAAAAAAAGTACATGATGTATAAAAAATACAAAACCGCCTTGTCTAACTTGTAAGCTAATTAAATGCATAGCAACAGTACATGCACGTTGGGTATCCTACAGTATCCCACTACTCTAACATGTTCCTTTAAGCTACAAGGTAAAAAGAGGAGAAACTACAGTTTGGTTGCATCTATCAGTCATTACAGCCTACATGATGCAGAGCGATGGTACAGAATAAGTTAGATTGCAACTGAACTGAAGACCAAATAAATACTTAACATTTCACAAATATTGACAACCTGTAATTCGAATGGACGCAGCATTAAAAAGGAAGCCTGCGTCAGAATTACATTCTTTTTTAAGACGAAAAAAAATGATAATAACAATAAAAAAAGATGTTTTAAATCGTATAACACTTCTAAGCCAGGATACAAATAAATATGAAATAAATAAAATATTGAGACCTGTATGGGAGTCGCTCGACTCCAACCATTTATGTACAAAATCCCACCCGCAGCTTCAAACAACAACATTTAGACGTACGAAAAGTTCCTATTAGTGTTCCTTTTTGAATCCCATAAACATACATACAAATGATCCGGACAAGCACGCGTCCGTAGAAAACCTGCATTGATTCGACATTGGGTGAATTTCAATGTGCTTTGGCTTTCGTTTGATAAATAAAGTTAATATCAGGCTATACATCACAACACATTTGTGGTATATTAGAGGCAATGGCATAGAATTTCAGCTTATATAAAGACTTTTAGCATAAAACGGGTCCAGAAATGATGAAAATTACTGACGTGGGTTTTGCTCAATGAACTATAGACCGATTCTTTTCTGTTTTGCTGTCGTATTTTGTGGTATTATTATGCAAAGACACTTCTATTTCAGTTTATTTTTGATAAACTTACAAAAATAAGTTAAACTTCAGAGAAACAAATCCAAAAAGTACAAAAAAAAAAAGCTAAGTGTACAATTTCTGTAAGGCCATGCAACGTTTGATCCATGCATGAGATTATTTCAGGGTTTTTGGATGAGTGGGGTTTGTTGTCGTTCATGCAAAGAGAAAAAAGCACTATGTGTGGCTGAGGCCATGATAAACATCACTACTGTCCCTTTTTGTTCCTTAATACCAATCCAGAGTTAACACTAGCGCTGTCTGTAACACACTATTAAGGCTGGTGTTGCTTTCTTTTTGCTTTTGCTGTTGAAACTGTGAATAGGCCTTACATTTTCAAACGGGATTCACTTTTCTTTTCTTTTTTTTGCGCAGACAAACTCTAAACCAGTCAACAAACACAAAACCTTTTTTCTAAGAGTGTGAAAAGACAAACAGAGGATACTGTACACGTCTGTGCTCCATCAGCGTAAAGTTTCATTCCTTCCAAAACGATAAACTCTTGTCTCATTGTATCAGTTACAATGAGTTGTTAAAAATGTCCACAGTGAGGATGAGAATCAGCCGAGTGTGGGAAGTGTTGGATGATGGACTTCAAGTAGCACCGTTGGGTTTTCTGTGAATCGGTGGATGTATTGCGTTTTGGAATAAAGTCTGTACCAGCAAACAAGACCTCCAGCTTTTCTTCTGAAGTAGATTGAAAAAAAAAAAAAAAACACACAGATAATGGTCCGTAAAAGTATTAAATACAAAAAAATAAAAAATAAAAAAAAAGATAAACACAAGTGTCTATAAGTTATTATTTAACCATTATAATAAACAATCGTCACGGAGAAGACCGGAGAGATCTTTAGCTGCTTTATGATTGAAGGCGAATCTGAGGCCACGGCTTCCTGCAAAAATCACAATCAAATCAATTCTAAATAAAGAATAAAATAAAACACGCAGCCTGAGATTTCTTCAGAGACGTTGTCAGACNCCATTTGTCCCACTGAAGGAAATGACTCAGAACTCTGCAGAAATGGACTTTATGTCAGTGCACAGAATGGTGCGTAGGCTGTGTGTTGTTTTGACTTTCTCAACAATTATGTGACATTTTGTGCAATTATCTGTGGCTTCGAAATTGTCGTTGAAGAATTGTGTTCTTCTTTTATATTTATTATTTTTTGTGATCTCTTGTACAGACCTCTCAAACGCTAGTTTGAAATCAAGTGTTATGGTAATTGTTGACTGTTGAAAGGCATAATGGTGTCCATAATAATGAGAGGAGCATCATATTAGTTTCCATTCTGCGCTGTTAAACCATCCAGCCCTGCATTATCTGTGTAATAACCCTTATAATTTACATTTTTTGAAGTGTCATTATCCGCGAAGACAAATTTAACATTTCTGCAGGCAGCCAAAAATTGTGCAATAAATTGGAACACAAGTAACTAAAGCGATGGCTCAGATGAACAAACACTTTATGCTGAGACAGCTGGTCCCACGAGAAACATGCGTCGAAAACTTTCACACTATAAAAGCAATTCTTGATGCCAAAATGCATCGTAGCTTATGCTTTTATGCATCTTTTATTTATTTATTTTTGCATAAATCACTCTTAAACAATGCCTCAATAACTTGTTTGGTGCACCTAAAAAGATACTTACAATTATTATCTTGTTAAATATTTTTAAAAAGTTCCCCTCCCTCTCTTCCTCTGTTTATCCTTCCACTCCGACCTTAAATTTGAATGAACTTTGTTGGTAAGCATGTTTATTTTAATCATTAGCAGCAGGGAAATACAATCCGAGACTGACTAGAGACTCTGGTCTGTGACAGGCGATCTGGTATTAGCAGCCTCTGGCTTTGCGTGTGGCCTTCATGCTGTGCAAAACCTCCTCTAATTCTCTGACTTCTGCTCCAGGAGGGGCTCCGCTCCTGTCACCACCTTAGAAGTAGGACACGAGCTGAGAGGCCAGTAGCTTGGTTGCTCTCCCAGAGGTGCGAGTCGCCCCCAAGAAGGGACATGAAGAATCATCCAGTGAAGAATAAGCAGCAGAACTGTAGCAAAACTGCAGAAGATTGATGTGTTTTTGATGGAAGACAGGTAGAGAATAAAAGTAAATWAATAAATAAGTAAATAAATACAAACGGGTGATTATGAAAACATTTTTTTTAGTTTAGGGATTTTTTATTTAGATTTGATTGCATAAATATTAATTTCAAATG